GATGAAACAAGGTGACACTCTGCTTTGTTTCAGCTCTCACACTGTAAACAAGTCATTTTCATGGTCAGTTTGTTGCCACTTCTTTTTTGCATTTGGGGCTTTTTATTAGGGGTATTGCTGTTTAAAATAGCCCTCAAGCATACTGCTGAAGTGCTGTGTAGTATTCCTAAGTAAAAGATAGCTGTGATGTGTCTTACAGAGAAAATAGAGTGTTAGGTAAGTTTTGTTCAAGTGTGAGTTGTAGTGCTATTGGTCATGGGTTTCATGTTAATGAATCAACCATGTATATTAAATACAATGTTTTTAAACAAAAACACATAAAACAAGGTTACGTATTGATCAGTTAGTGAAAATGTGACCACAGACTCATAGGAAACCAACTCTGTATTTCCCTTAGGAACAATGGTGTAGGATTCACTAAGCCAGTGTTCCCAGTGACTTTTTAGAATACGGCTACTGAAAACAATGAGAATCACTTTGTATCATTGGGCTATGTGCTATATTATTCTTAAAAATTTAAAGAGACCGGCCTCGGTGGCTCAGCCTGTAATCCCAGCACTTTGGGAGGCCGAGGTGAGTGGATTGCCTGAGCCCGCAGGTTCGAGACCCAACCGGGCAACTTGGCGATACCTCATCTCTACAATTAAGCAAAAAGTAGCTGGGCATGGTGGCGCGTGCCTGTAGTTTCAGCTTGGAAGACTGAGGCGGAAGGATCGCCGAAGCCCAGCAGGTCAAGGCTGTGGTGGCCAGGAGTGGCCACTGCACTCCAGTCTGGTCGACGGAGTGAGACTCCAACTCAAAAAAACAAACAAGCAAACAAACAAAAAAAAATTTAAAGAAATAGGCCAGGTGCAGTAGCTAATGCTTATAATCCCAGCACTTTGGGAGGCCGAGATGAGAAGATTGCCTGAGCCCACAGGTTCAAGACCAACCTGGACCACTTGTGAGACCTCATCTATATAATAAATCAGAAAAATTAGCTGGGCGTGATGGCACACAACTATAGTTTCAGCTACTTGGAAGGCTGAGGCAGAAGAATTTTCTGAGCCCAGCAGGTCAAGGCTGCCGTTGCTGTGAGTGTGTCACTGCACTCTAGCCTGGGTGACAGAGTGAGACTCCAACTCAAAAAAAAAAATTTAAAAAAATCCTGGAGGAGGAGTGTTACTCTGGTGGATATTTTGCTAAAGGGAAAATGTACAGAATTGTATAGAATAGCTTTCTTTCAAGTGTGCATTTAATTACTGATTTTTTTTTTTTTAAGTAAAAAGAATTCTACGCCAAAATAAATGGTTCTCTTTGGGTGGTAGCATAACAAGCATTTATTTCCATTTTCCAAGTCATCTTTATCGGTCATATATTATTTTTCTATTAGAAACAAAATCTAATTGAATAAATGTTATGTGACTCCTATAAATAGAGGATGCCGTTACAGAAGCCATTCAGTAATTTGAACATTGCTTCCAGGAAAGAAATAAAAACTTAGGCAAAGATAGACTTGGGAGCAAGGAAAATTGATGCTAGGCTCTGCCTTGAGGAAGAAATCATTGTATAATTGTTGTTATTCCTGTCTAAAACAATGATTGTTACTACAGTGATAGTTACTTTTTGGGTGTGGCAGAGGACCATAAATTTTATCTAGTTTTTTTTGTTTGTTTTTGAGTTGGTGTCTCATTTGTCACCCAAGCATAAGTGTAGTGTCACGTTCACAGCCACTGCAGCCTTGACTTGTTGGGCTCAGGCGACCCTTCCACTGGAACTACAGGTGTGTGCCACCATGCCCAGCTAATTTTTTTTTAGTTATTGTAGAGGAGAGGTCTTCCCATGTTGCCCAGGCTGGTCTTGAACTTCTGGGCTCAGGCAGTCCTCTCACCTCCCAAAGTGCTGGGGTTACAGATGTGAGCAACCACGCCTGGACCTATCTATTTCTTTGAAAGGCATTTGCTGTGCTTTTATTTATTTTTATTTTTATTTTTTGAGTTGGGGTCTCACTCTGTTGCCCAGGTTGGAGTGCAGTGGCACATACACAGCCAACCCAGCATCGATCTGCTGAGCTCCAGCAATCCTTCCGCCTCAGCTTTCCAAGAAACCAGAACTACAGGCATGTGCCACCATGCCCGGCTATTTTTTTTTTTTTTTTTTTTGCATTAGGTTTTTATTGTAGAGACGAGGTCTTGCCAAATTGCCCAGGCTGGTCTTGAACCCGCGGGCTCAGGCAATCCACTAGCCTTGGCCTCCCAAAGTGCTGGTATTTCAGGCTGAGCCACTGAGCTCAGCCTGCTGTGCTTTTCAAAAATTAGGTAATCATGCATGTGACAGTAAACTCAGAACATACTTTTTTTAAAAAAATAACTTGCTAAAGCATTTTTCAGAGATGTTGGGCTAATTTATGTTTCATTAAGTATACAAGACTGCCTGATTATTCCACATCCCCTAAGCAGTATTTTATCAGGCTTATCAGTCTCTCAATATAGTAGTTTTTTTATTTTTATTTTTTTTGAGTCAGAGTCTCACTTTGGAGTACAGTATACAGTGGCATGCTCACAGCTACTACCGCCTTGACCTACTGGGCTCAGGCATAGTTTTTTTGTTTTGTTTGTTTGCGTTGGAATCTCACTCTGCCTCCCAGACTGGAGTGCAGTGGCACAATCATGGATACCACAGCCTCCATCTGCTGGGCTTAGGTGATCCTTCCGCCTCAGTCTTCCAAGAGGTGGAACTATAGGCATACGCCACCACACTTGGCTAATTTTTTTGATGTATTGTACAGATAAGTGAGGTCTCACCAAGTTGCCCAGGCTGGTCTCAAACTCCTGGACTCAGGCAATCCTCTTGCCTCCACCTCCCAAAGTGCTGGAATTACAGGTGTCAGGTGTGTGCCACTGCACCTGGCTCAGGTATAGTTTTTGATCTTTACCCTTTTTGATACATTTAAGGATCTTTTTGTGATGGTCCTCATTTCTGCTTCTCTTTTTCATATTTTTAATTTCTTAAGTAATGCTGCTATTTTTTCGTGAGGTTTTAAACTTTAGGCTGCTTATTATATAATGAGAGACCCAACAAGATGCAGCTTATTAATCAGCAGTTACTTTTCAGAAGTACTTCTCAGGTCTTAATGTTTTCCTTAATTGAACTATTTGTTAAAGTATATGTAGAAAAGTGCATAAATTATAATCTTACAACTTGAAGGATTTTCACAAAATGAATATACTTATTTGGCACAAGTAGTTGAAGAAATAGAACATGAATCGCTTTGTTGTCACTAGCCACATCCCCAGAGCCAATCACCATTCTGAGTACACTACACTAGAGAAGTGTTGACTGTTTTGATCTTTACACAAATGGAATCATATACTGTGCACTCTTTTGTGTCTGGCTGCTTTTATTTTATATTTGTGGTGTAGAATGTAGCAATGATTTATTTATTCTCATTACTGGATGCTTTCTGTTTGAATATATTGCATTGTATTTATCCATTCTAGTATTGTCATACATTTAGGTTGTTTGCAGAATTTTAGAGCTATTTCAAGTAGTATTGCTTTAAACATTAAATATATATATATTTATATTTTTATATTTATTTATTTATTTATTTATATATTTAGGGATAAGGTTTCACTTTATTGTCCTGGCTGGATGGAGTACAGCTACTGCAGCCTTGACCTGCTGGGCTCAGGCATAGTTTTTTTGTTTGTTTGTTTGAGTTGGAATCTCACTCTGTCACCACTCTGTGGTGCAGTCATAGCTCACTGAAGCCTCGAACTCCTGGGCTCAAATGATCCTTCCACCTCAGCCTTCCAATTAACTGTGATTACAGGCATGTGCCACCACACCCAGCCAATTAAAAAAAATTGTAGAGACAGGATCTTTCTTTGTTGTCCAGGCTGGTCTCCAACTCCTGACCTCAAGCAATCCTCTTTCCTCAGCCTCCCAGAGTGCTAAGGTTACAGGTATGCTAAGGTTACTGTGTCCAACTTGAATAAGCTTTATACACATCTTTTGGAGAACTAATGTGTATGTTTATCTTGGACATATATACTGTGATCCAGCAGTTTTGTTGTTGTTTGAGTTGGGGTCTCACTGTCGCCCAGGGTTGGAGTGCAGTGGCACGGTCATGGCTTACCGCAGCCTTGACCTCCTGGGCTTGTGCAATTCTCCCACCTCAGCCTCCCAAGGAGCTGGGACTACAGGCACATGCCACCACAACCAGCTAATTTTTTTTACTGTTTATGGAAATGAGGTTTCACTATGTTGCCCAGACTGGTCTCAAACTCCTGGCTCAAGTGATCTTCCCACCTTGGCCTCTCAAAGTGCTAGGATTATAGGCATGAGACACCACACCCAGTCTCAGCAGTTTATTCTAGATGTGCAGATACTGTTTTTTCCCTATTCTCTTTTTTCCAAGCGAGGTTCCTTGGAAAGGATACATATCATCCTTCATGTATGACATGTGCCTTACTTTGAGAATTTATGAATGGGAAAAAAAACTCAAAGTATTGAATCCTCTGCTTCAAGTAATAAGCTGCAGTTTAAGTTTTTTCTGTGTCTAAATGCTTTATATGCTTGTTTCCTTTAATTATAAGGAAACCAACTAGATAGCTACTACTATTCCCATTTTATAGCTAAGGAAAGTGAGGTTTAGAGGCATTAAATTGTCCAAGGTCACTCGGTCAACAAGTAGCATAATACAGATTCAGACCCTTTGTCTTTGATTTCTTAATCTTAAGTACTATATCATCCTGCTTGTATAAATTAAGTGTAGACATTTAGAGGTTCCAGGATGAGGACCAGAAGAAAAGAATAGCAGATAAGTTACTCCCCTGCTCCTTTTATTTCTCTGTGGTGCCTGAAGTATATCACTTTCAGCCACCTCTCTTCCTTCTAAAAATCATCTCCCGTGCCTCAGATTTTTGAATCCTCTGTGAACTTTGTCCAGAAAACAAATTACCAAATTAATACAGGTTTCACTTTATTTGAAAACAATGTGTTTTTCCCTCTTACAGAAAAAACGCAGTGAAATTCCTTGCTATTGGGAAAATCAACCGATGGGATGTCAAAAACTAAACTGCGCTTTCCATCACAACCGAGGACGTTATGTTGATGGCCTTTTCCTACCTCCAAGCAAAAGTGAGATCAATTTTTTATTTTAAAGTGATAGATACTATTAAATTAATACCTGTTATACACACTGTACAAAATACTTATTACACATTGCCTTCTTTCAGTCTAGTGAAAGAGCAGTATTATTTCTACTTTATAGGTGAGGGAACTGAACCTTTGGCCATAGCACCAAGTGTACCTTGGCATGCCAATTTGTTACTATAGCTTACTTAATTTCTCATTTTTTTTTATCAGACCCATAAAGTTTCTCAAAATGAACTGAATTCTCCAGGCCAAGGTTAGCAAATCTGGTTCTCCACCTGTTTTGTTAGAAAACAACCTTGGCCATTCATTTACATATTTTCTGTGACTAATTTTGTGCTAGTGCTGCAGAATTGAATGGTTGAGACAGAGACCATATGTTCCACAAAACCTAAAATATTAAATATCTGACTCTTTACAGAAAATGTTTGCTAATCCTGCTCTAGACTGTAATCTAAAATGAAAATCAAACTCTACAAAAAGGTAGTATTTATGTCCAAAGTTCCTTTTAAAGTAATTTAAAAGTGGGATTAGCCATTTAAAAGCCATATCTGGTATGTGATTAAAATTTGATGGCTATGTCTTTTCACCTCTATTTAAGGGAAAAAATAGACTTGCTCTTTCCTTGTTCAATTCAAGTAAGTGTCTTCTACCTCTTAAAAGCTACTTTTTTGCTGAGCAAAAAGCTTAGAATTTCAGTGTGAAAATGAAAGGTCTGGAATTCATCAACAGGTACTATACCTCTAGCCTTCTGTTCTAAGTTTTGAATGCCCAGTTTGTGTTTATGTACAGTGAAGTTATTACCTCAAAGTACATTTTCCCTTCCTAGGACTTTAGAGCCTAAATGGCGGAAATTAGATAAAAAGACATAAGGTAAAAGGCCCATAAGGACAATATACTAAACGTAGGTGAACAGGGATTTTTAGTAAATTGGGATTCTATCTTCTGTTAATTCATGACTGATTTTGTATGTTTAGCGGTGTTGCCCACTGTGCCTGAGTCGCCAGAAGAGGAAGTGAAGGCTAGCCAACTCACAGTTCAGCAGAACAAATTGTCTGTCCAGTCTAATCCCTCCCCTCAGCTGCGGAGTGTTATGAAAGTAGAAAGTTCTGAAAATGTTCCTAGCCCCACACATCCCCCAGTTGTCATTAATGCTGCAGATGATGATGAAGATGATGATGGTAAGTTTTAGCTTTTTATTTAAGGCAAATATATAGGGTCAGGTAGTGAATTATACAGAATCATGTTCAAAGCTCTAGTTCTGTTTTTAATTGTGAATTTGCTTTAAATGTTGACATATAGATCAGTTTTCTGAGGAAGGTGATGAAACCAAAACACCTACCCTGCAACCAACTCCTGAAGTTCATAATGGATTACGAGGGACTTCTGCCCGGAAACCTGGGGTCAATTTAAAGCAAGGTAAGAGGATGCTGTATTGGTGCTAAATTTTACAGCACTATTGAATGTGTCCAAACTACTTTAATTACCTATTTTATCACAGTCATTGACCTCCTCCTCCTCCCCACCCCTTGCTACACACACATACTTTCTGTTGATTAAAATTCAAAAAAATTCAAAAGATATTTGAATGCCTGTTGCATACAGATAAATGCAAAGGTGAAAAAGCTTTAGTTCTCATTACTTCTATATGGGTTTTTCAGGTGAATGTTTGAATTTTGGGATAAAAACTCTTGAGGAAATTAAGTCAAAGAAAATGAAGGAAAAATCTAAGAAGCAAGGTGGTAAGTCATAAGCTTTGGTGTGTATTGTTGTATGATACTGGGGAAGAATAATAAGGACACTTGAAGCAACAGCCAAAATTAACAAATAGATTTTTTATTTCAATGAGCTTCTTGATGTAAACAGAGTTTTATTTTAATCATGGTTAGTAGGTTGGGTGCAGTGACTCATGCCTCTAATCTATAATCTCAGCACTTTGGGAGGCAGAAGCGAGGGGATTGCTGAGCCCAGGGGTTTGAGACCATCCTGGGCAACTTGGCAAGACCTTGTCTCTACAGCCAATCAAAAAATTAGCCAGGCATGGTAGTGTGCACCTGTGGTTCCAGCTACTCAGAAGGCTGAGGTGGCGGGATCGCCTGAGCCCAGCAGGTTGAGGATATGGTGGCCATGAGTGTGCCGCTGCACTCCAGCTTGGGTGACAGAGTAAGACTCCAACTCTATTAATTAATTAATTAAATGTGGTTGTTTTATAAGTTTATTGCAACTGTGTTTCAGTTCCTAAGTGTTCAGAGCTGGGCACATAAAATAACCTGTGTAACTTAAAAAATATAATCTAAAGAGCGCACTACTTGAGAACTATATTAAGAGAGGGAAATATTCATTTTGTAGTTAGAAGAGTTCTTTCTCAAAAGCTGCTGAATTTTCTTCTGGAGCTTGTCTCAACCTAGTTGATCTATATTTCCAGCCCTAAAATTATAGCATGAAATGTATATGTACAGAACAAATGGCTGGTTCTAAGAACCTCTTGTTAAATCTTGTCCTATAGGAGCCTTGGAGTTAGGTTTTTCACATGGGTGAATTTAGATGGAAAAGGTTGAGTTGACACATCTTATGGCTAGTTTACTGTTGAGGTTAACTTTAGAATGATGTTAACTTTATTGGTAAGCAAAAAGTAGATTGAGTGCCTGAGTCACTCAAAATAATTTTGTATTCTGTTTTCACATTGTGCCTTAAGCTCCCCCCACCACTACCCCCATTTCACTGTAGGCAACAGATGCAGAAAGGTTCATTGGCTTTATAATCATATAGCAGTCTTTATTGGACTGGTCACAAAACAATTTTTTGGCTTTGATAGTTTTATTTTTTACAAATTATTTGCTTTTCTTTGATTTTCCTTATTCAGAAGGATCTTCAGCAGTTTCCAGTCTTTTACTCCACCCTCAGCCCATTCCAGGTCCTGAGAAAGAGAATGTCCGGACCGTGGTGAGGACAGTTACTCTGTCCAGCAAACAAGGTAAGGTATATGTAGATCTTAGAGTTTTTTTTTTTTAATTAGGAAAACAATATCTGTGGGTACTTTTTACCTTTGTTGAATGTTTGGGAAGAGTTCAGTATGTTGATCAGATATAGAATAGAAAGAAAAGTCAGTGTGTTTGACTCTGCTATTTAAAAGATTGAAATTTTTTTAATTCACTTTTTTTTTTTGAGTCAGAGTTTCGCTTTGTCACCCAGGCTAGAGTACAGTGGCATGATCCCAGCTACTGCAGCCTCAACCTCCTAGGCTCAGATGATCCTTCCGCCTTATACTTCCAAGGAGCTGGAACTACAGATGTGCACCACCACTCCCAGCTAATTTTTTGATTTTTTGTAGAGATGAGATCTCACCAAGTTGCCCAGGCTGACCTCAAACCCTTAGGCTCAAGCAGTCCTCTTGCCTCTGCCTCCCAAAGTGCTGGGATTACAGGCGTGAGCCACCATGCCTGACCTAAAAGATTGAAATTCTGCCGGGCTCAGTGGCCTGTAATCCCGCGCTTTGGGAGGCTGAGGTGATTGGATTGCCTGAGCCCACGGGTTCGAGATCCACCTAGGGAACTTGGCAAGACCTCATCTCTACTACAATAAATCAAAAAATTAGCTGGGCATGGTAGCACACTCCTGTAGTTCCAGCTACTTGGAAGGCTGAGGCAGAAGGATCACTGAAGCCCAGCAGGTCGAGGCTGCAGTGGCCAGAGTGTGCCACTGCACTCCAGTCTGGGCAACAGAATGAGACTCTAACGCAAAAAAAAAAAAAAGATTGAAATTCTTACTCAAGCAGCTCTCATATTTATGAATATTTAATTTTTACATTTACAGTTTATAAACATTTAATAAATGTATTAACTTCGCACTGTAGATAAAGAGCTATAATAAATCCTTTGAGTTATAGAAAAATGCAAAAGTCGGCCGGGCGTAGTGGCTCACACCTATAATCCCAGCACTTTGGGAGATTAAGGTGGGAAGTTTGCCTGAGTCCACAGGTTTGAGACTAGCCTGGACAACTTGGCGAGACCTCCTGTCTACAGTAAATAAAAAAATTAGCTGGGCATGGTGCCGCATGCCTATAGTTCCAACTGCTTAGAAGATTGAGGTGGAAGGATCACCTGAGCCCAGTAGGTCGAGACTACTGTGAGCATACCACTGCACTCCAGCCTGTGCAACAGAATGAGACTCCAACTCAAAGAAAAACGGAAAAGTCTTTTTCACTCAATTTTAAACCTAGTAAGGAATAGTAGATATAGATACATTTAAATGCCTTGTACTATTCAAACAAGAAAGAACCAGAAGAAACTGAGCCTACTTCTTGCTGGGGTGATCAAAGAAAGTTATATATAAGAGTGAGCATTAGAGTACGATTTCATTTAACATATCAAAGTGCATAAGCAAAAGTGTAGCTTGGGATTTTATAACCAATGACTAAGAACACAATCTTTCTTGTTACGTAGCTGCTGTTAATTAGTACTATGTTGCTTGAGCCCGCGAGTTTGAGACCCGCCTGGACAACTTGGCGAGACCTCATCTCTACAATAAATCAAAAATTAGCCGGGTGTGATAGCGCATGCCTGTTGTTCTGGCTGCTTGGAAGTCTAAGGCAGAAGGATCACCGGAGCCCAGCAGGTCGAGGGTGGGTGACAGAGTGAGACTCCAGTCTGGGTGACAGAGTGATACTCCAACTCAAAAAAAATTATTATTGATAGTTGTTTTTTAATGTGATAGTCTTGCATAAATCTGAGTCCTGACTTTCAGATTTTCTTGGTAGGCTCATACTAATATCAGAACATACTTTGTATCCATTAGTAGCTACTGAATGCAAAAAAATTGGTGACTGGTAGAGAAATTCTGTTTTTGCCATTTCAGGGGAAGAACCCTTGGTTAGATTGAGCCTTACTGAGAGACTAGGGAAACGAAAATTTTCAGTAGGTAAGTTTTGTTTGTCTTTTGTTTCCTGGTTGTACATTAACGTGATACCTTCTGTAAACTCTGTATCCAGGGCTCGTCAATATTGCCAGTCCTCCTGTATTCTTAGTTGAAAGCACTTACAAAACTAGCCTCATGTTTTTCTTATGTGCATTATACCTTTTATTGAAGTTACAGAAATTTAAGGTGTTATAATTTAATTAGATTATGATCATAGCCAGCTTTTTAGAAGGTACTCGGTTGAAAACATGATAAAGAATACCTCTATTTCTTTTTTTTCCTAGAGACAAGGTCTTACCAAGTTGCCCGGGCTGGTCTCAAACCTGCGGGCTCAAGCAATCCACTCGCCTTGGCCTCCCAAAGTTCTGGGATTACAGGCTGAGCCACTGAGCCCAGCCTACCTCTATTTCTTTGAGCATATTTAAATGGGAGTTTTTAAAGTGGGGACAAAAAAGAAGACTATATATACAAATTTGGGTTCTTGTTTTTTTTTGTTTTGGGGTTTTGTTTTTTTTTTTAGTAGAAGTCTCACTCTGTTGCCCAGGCTGAAGTGCAGTGGCACACTCATGACCACCACAGGCTTGGTCCACTGGGCTTAGTCAATCTTTCCAACTCACCTCATCCTTCCAAGTAGCTGGAACTACAGGCACATGCTACCATGCCTGGCTAATTTTTTTATTTATTGTAGAGATGAGGTTTCATCAAGTTGCCCAGGCTGGTCTTGAACCCTTGGACTCAGGCAGTCCTCTCACCTCCACCTCCCAAAGTGGGATCCTTGAATTTATTGGTGCGGTTTTATATTTAGGGAAGTACGTAATCATATTACTGAATTGTTGCATACCTAGTGTCTGTCTCAAAAAAATTATTCTGAGGCTGGGTGTGGTGACTCACACCTGTAATCCCAACACTTTGGGAGGTCGAGGTGAGAGGATTGCCTGAGCCCACGGGTTCAAGACCAACCTGGGCAACTTGATGAAACCTCATCTCTACAATAAATCAAAAACTTAGCCAGGCGTGGTAGCATGTGCCTGTAGTTTCAGCTCTTGGAGGGCTGAGGCAGAACGCTCATCCGAGCCCAGCAGTTTGAGGCTACGGTGGCTGTGAGCTTGCTACTGCACTCCAGCCTGGGCAACAGAGTGAGACTCCCAACTACAGAAAAAAAAAATTCTGAAAATCTGTTCTGATTTCAGAATTTCCTTCATGCTGCTTTAAATGTGCTTAAATGGAAAACTTGTCTCTACTTTGTGTTTTCTTTAAAACTATTCTCAACCGGGCATGGTGGTTCACGCCTATAATCCCAGCGCTTTGGGAGGCTGAGGTGAGTGGATTGCCTTAACCCACGGGTTCGAGACCCACCTGGGCAACTTGGCAAGACCTCATCTGTACTACAATAAATCAAAAAGTTAGCCGGGCGTGGTAGCACGCGCCTATAGTTCCAGCTACTTGGAAGGCTGAGGCGGAAGGATCGCCAGAGCCCAGCAGGTCAAGACTGGTGGCCATGAGCATGCCACTGTACTCCAGTCTGGGCGACAGAGTGAGACTCCGACTCAATAATAATAATAATAGCCGGGCGCGATGACTCAAGCCTGTAATCCCAGCACTTTGGGAGGCCAAGGTAAGAGGATTGCCTGAGCTCAGGTTTGAGTCCAGGCTGGGCGACTTGGTAAGACCTCGTCTTTACAATAAATCAAAAAATAAGATGGGCATGGTAGCACACGCCTGTAGTTCTAGCTGCTTGGTGGAAGGCTGAGGTGGAAGGTTTGCCTGAGCCCAGCAAGTTGAGGCTGTGATGGCCATGAGCATGCCACTGCATTCCAGCCTGGGCGACAGATTGAGACTCCAACAAATAAATAAATAATAATGATTACAAATAAAACTATTCTCACTGCCCTGTCTTCAAAACTGTCATGAACTTGGTAACATTTTTTCAGTCAGAAAATGTTGAATGTATCATTTTATCAGTTGTGCAGCTCTTACCATAAGTAATAAAAAAATTTTCAATGATTACATCATGCCTATAAATAAAATCTGTTTGCTTTGAATTTGCTGTGTGTCAAAGTGATTTATATAAATTTTCGTCTAATTTTCAGTAATTATGAACAAGCCATGCACAATGCATAAATATTTTCTGCACTAAGCTCAAACTCAGAAGAGCTTAAGTAACTTGGCCAAGGTTATATTCAGATGAATATATTATGCATTATATAGTCATTTCCAAAAAGAGCTTAGAAGAAAGAAAAAGGAAGCAATCTTTATAATTTTTTAAAATCTGTATTTCAAGAAACAATACCAGTTCTAGATTTTGAGAGCAATAATTGTTTATGCCAAGCCAGTATTCCAAAACATGAGACTTGCAGCTTTGATAAGGCTGATCTAGAAATCTTAGGTAAAAAAATAAGCCAGGTGCAGTGGCATGTGCTTTTGTAATCTTAGCTACTCAGAAAGCTGAGTTGAGAGAATTGTTTAAACCCAGGAGTTAGTCCAACTTGGGCAACATAGCGAGATCTTGTCTCTATAAAAATATAATTTTTTAGTATAGAAATAAGCCATTTTAACATGAGCATGCATGTTAATTTTGTGATTTTTTTTGTTTTGTACTTAAATTATAAATGAGAGGAGAAAAAAAATTATACTTTGTAGGATCATTTGAAGTTTTTAATGGGACCTTGCAAAGAATGTAACTTCAGTCAGGCATTCTAAAAAACAGTTTTTAAAAACTGATGATAATTTTTAAACTTATGTTGAACAGTGTAATATAATAACTTAGAGTCAGGAAACCTTATTCAGGTCTTAGCTCTATCACTGACTAGTTGGTGACTTGAGTAAGATGCAGAATCTTTCAGAACCTTAGATTTCTTACCTAGAATTGAAGAGAGGACTGTTTGACCTTCAGAGTCTCTATATCGCAGGAAAACTTAAAATTTTATAATTCTTTTGCTGTCCTACTTATCCCAGGTGCAATTCACATGATGAACTCAACAGTTGACCAGCTAAAAAATTTTTTCGTGAAGATTTTTTACATTCCTGATTCTGAACTTTAATCTCAACCAGGGGTTATCCTTCATTTGTAGTTTTAGTCAGTTATTTGGTAAATGTTTATTTGTGCTTTCTAATTTTTTTGTCCTTTTTCTTGCTATTTTTTCTTTCTAAAACATTGTGTAGTAATAGTAGCTGTTGCTGTTGTTGTCGTTGTTGTCGTAGGCCCTGGCCAGTCAAACATTGAATTCTCAAGCAACTGGTAAACAAATACCCCACATCAATGCAGAAAACTTACAGAATTGTGCTGCCTTGTTTGATTTCTTGACTTTGCTAAAGATTGACTTGAAATCTTAAAGTTCTCACTGTTTATAGGTGGTGACAATGATCCTCCATTAAAGCGTAGCCTTGCACAGAGGCTAGGGAAGAAAGTTGAAGCTCCAGAAACTGACACTGACAAAACACCAAAGAAAGGTACTTTTGTTTTAATACTGTGTGTGTGTGTGTGTGTGTGTGTGTGTGTGTGTGTGTGTGTGTGTGTGTGTGTGTAATTGTAACAGTTGTTTCTTACAGTGTTAACAGCTATGGTTTGTCATTCTTTTGTTCAGGCAAATTAGGTTATTCTGGTGTCTGTTACTATTCACTCAAACATTTGAGTTCTTACTCTGCTAGATTCTGTGTAGACACCATTGAACAAAATAAATACCATCATACCCCTCAGGAGATGATAGTATAATGGCAGGTAGGAATACTTACAAATACTATGATAAATTCGGGACAGAGAAAAGTACATTGGTGCTATGAGAACACATAAGAAGGGCATCTGTTTTTGTCATCTGTTAGGGAAAGGTTCACAGAAAAGTTAGGTTAAAACTTAGACCTCACACATGAGTTAGGAATTAGCCAGGTGAAGTTGGAGGGCCAGGGACCGTGTTCCAAGCAGAGAGAGAATAATTCCTGCAAAGTCCCAGAGCTAAATAAAGCATGGTGTACTTAAGAACCTGAGTATGGCTGAAGCTAGAAATGGCTGAAGAGCATGATGACTAGAGAAGAAGGAGGGGCTACATCATCATATATAGACATTTAAGCCATGCTAGGGAGTTTGGGTTTATCCTAAGATAGTAACAACCCATCAAAAGGTTATAAGTAGGGATCAAAGACTCAGATTTACATTTTAGAACTATTACCTTGCCTGCAATATGGAGGAGAAAGATTAGAAGGGGATAAGTTTGTTGTCCAGGGTGTGAGTTGGCAAGCTGTTACAATAATCCAGATAAGAGGAGATAGTGGCATAGATTTAATGCTTTAGAAGTTGGTTGGAAACGTGTACTAAATTAAGAGATATTTGGAGGATTTGAATTCTTTTCTTTTTTTGAATCAGGTCTCACCTTGTTACCCAGGCAGGACTGCAGTGGCACAATCATGGCTCACTGCAGCCTCAACCTCCTGGGCTCAGGCAATGCGATTCTTTTGCCTCAGCTGGGACTACAGGTGCACACCACAACTGGCTAGTTTTTTTATTTTTGGTAGAGACATGGTCTTGCTATGTCATGCTTAGGCTAGTTTTGGACTCCTAGGCTCAAGCAATCCTCCTGTCTCCGCCTCCCAAGATTCTGGGATTACAGGCATGAGTCACTGGGTCCGACCTTTTTTGGAAACAAGGTTTTGCCATGTTACCTGAACTGTATTTAACCTCTTGGCCTGAAGCCATCCTCCTCCCTCACCCTCCCATTTGCTGGTACTACAGGCATTCGCCTCTGGCAGGGAGTTAGTATTTGTTGTAGTTGAAAGAGAAAAAGAAATCAAGGGTTTAATTTTTTTCCCTTCGTATGACTTGCAGTGAAATCGTGGGGGTAATTACTAATGAACAGGTGTTATTTCCTTCTCATTGTGTTTAGTATTTTTTTTTCTTTTTTTTTTTTTTTGTGTTGGATTTCACTCCATCGCTCAGACTGGAGTGCAGTGGCCGCTCCCGGCCACCGCAGCCTCAACCCACTGGGCTCTGGCGATCCTTACACCTCAGCCTTCCGAGTAGCCGGAATTACAGGCGCGCGCTACCACGCCCGGCTGATTTTTGATTTATTGTAGAGATGAGGTCTCGCCAAGTTACCCAGGCGGGTCTGGAACACACAGGCTCAGGCAATCCACTCACCTCAGCCTCCCAAAGGCGCGGGATTACAGGCTGAGCCACCAAACCCGGCCATTGTGTTTAGTTTTAACTTTCCTTGGAGATAATCTTTTATCCCCCTTTTCTTCTGGCCTAAGAGGCTTTGATGTTCCTGTTTGGGGACTTTCTTGCATTCTCAAAGCTTGCCAAATTCCTTTTCTTCTTGCCTGTCAGTCATATTGAAGATTTTCATAATTAAAGAGCATATTTCAAATCGATGTAGGGGGATGAAGCCTTTTGATGACAATAAGATTTTTAGAAGGTCTTATAGTAACAGGATTATTTCTTTGAATTCAGTAGTTTTTGCTTTTCAGGTATAAGGAAGGTTTTTGTTTTTAAGCTTTCCAGAGTGCCCTAGGACAGAAGTTCCCCACCCTTTTGGCAGCAGGGGCTGGTTTTATGGAAGGCAGTTTTTCCACGGACCAGTGGGGGCAGAGGGTGTGCAGTCAAACCTCACTACTAATGTTAATCTATATTTGCAGCCACCTCCCAGTGCTAATATCACCGCCTCAGATTATCAGACATTAGATTCTCATAAGGAGTGCACAACCTAGATCCCTCATGTGTATAGTTCACAATAGGGTTTGCGCTCCTGTGAGAAGCTAATGCCACTGCTGATCTGACAGAAGATAAAGCTCAGGTAGTGTGAACAGTGGGGAGTGGCTGTAAATACAGATGAAGCTTCGGCTCACTCTCCTGCTACTCACCTTCTGCTGCCACTCTACCTCCTGCTATGTAGCCTGACTCCTAACTGGTCAGTGGCCCGGGGGCTAGGGACCCCTGCTCTAGGGAATCTGTGATTCACATACATGTTTTCTGTGGAGAAAAAAAATTTAAGACCTTCAGAGATTTAAAAATATATATATTTGCATTAGAAGAGAAGTATAGCCTAATTTGTGAACTCTGAAAAAGATATTTGACCTATAAAAAGTCTGTTCAAAGCCGGGCTCGGTGGCTCAGCCTGTAATCCCGCGCCTTTGGGAGGCTGAGGTGAGTGGATTGCCTGAGCCCGCGGGTTCGAGACCCGCCTGGGCAGCAAGACCTCATCTCTACAATCAATCAAAAAATTAGCCAGGCGTGGTAGCGCACGCCTGTAGTTCCAGCTACTTGGAAGGCTGAGGCGGAAGAATCGCCGGAGCCCAGCAGGTCGAGGCTGCGGTGGCCGGGAGTGGCCACTGCACTCAAGTCTGGGCGACGGAGTGAGACTCCAACTCAAAAAAAAAAAAAAAAAAAAGTCTGTTCAAGCCGAGCTTGTTGGCTCAGCCTGTAATCCCACGCTTTGGGAGGCTGAGGTTAGTGGATTGCCTGAGCTTGTGGTTTCGAGACCCGCCTGGGCAACTTGGCGAGACTTCATCTCTACAATAAATCAAAAAATTAGCCAGGTGTGGTAGCGTGCGCCTATAGTTCCAGCTACTTGGAAGGCTGAGTCAGAAGGATTGCCAGAGCCCAGCAGGTTGAGGCTGCAGTGGCCGGGAGTGTACCACTACACTCCAATCAGCAACAGAGTGAGACTCCAACTCAAAAAAAAAAAAGTCTGTGTTCAGCTTTTGATTTTTTTAATTCTTCTTTTTACAGTTCAAGTTTCCAAGTCTTTGAAGGAGCGATTAGGCATGTCAGCTGGTCCAAACAATGAGGAGGCAACGGGTAAGTCAATCCTAAGACCAGATTCTGAGATTTTTTTCTTGCCATAAGAGTTTTTGCTTTTTGTCTAATTTACTGATTGCAGATAGGTTACGGTTTTTTGTTTTTTGTAGTCCTGTTTTTTTAGTAATAATTACTCACTAGTGTGAATTTCTTTTTTGTACTTTGAGATGGCAAAATGATTATTCATTGTAGCATCAGTAGTTGAAAATTAGAAACAACCTAAATATACAACACAGAGTTAAAATAAAATTTTAGTAGTTATGTACTAAAAGAATTGCGGTTATGAAGAGTCGTGTTCTAAACAATAATGATATGGAAAACTAAATTGCATTTTTATCAAATGAAGAAAGGTCCCAAAAAAGTATGTACCACTTTTGACCTTTTGATACAGAGTAACTTAAGCATCTTTTTTAAAAAAAAAGAAGTCTATTTTCTTATTATAGAAATCTGCTCTCAGGAGGAACATACATAAGTATGAGATGATTCCAGTTTTGTAAAGATACAAATATATGCCTTTTTAAATCTACAACCAAAAAAAATACAAATATTGGTTTTTATCCAGATGTTGGGGTATTCTTTATATTTTTCCTGTACTGTAATTTGGTATTCTTTATATTTTTCCTGTACTGTAATTTTTAAACTTAAATTTATAAAATAGAACTATATAAGTGTATATATTTACTCTTATTTAAAGAATAATAGACTTCTGAATAGAAATATGCATCAGCAATTTGTACCTTCTGAGTTTTTCTTGGGAGCCACTACCTGAATTGTGTAGTAATCTAAAATTAAGATTGAAGCTAATGTTATACTTTTGATTATTTTTGTTGCCTGCCTAAATGATACCTCTCTATTGGGTTGTATTGATCCAAGAATAGTGATCATTAGTCAGGAGGAGGTGAATTCCAAGTACAATGACATATTTCCCCCCCCCCCCCCGTGAAAACAGAGAGAGTTAAAGTTGGTGAGATCCATGTTAAGACATTAGAAGAAATTCTTCTTGAAAGAGCCAGTCAAAAACGTGGAGAATTGGAGACTAAACTCAAGACAGAAGGACCTTCAAAAGCTGATGATTCTACTTCCGGAACAAGAAGCTCCTCCACTATTCGAATAAAAACCTTCTCTGAGGTACTGGCTGAAAAAAAACATCGGCAGCAGGAAGCAGAGAAACAAAAGAGCAAAAAGGATGCAACTTGTATCAAACTAAAGACTGATAGTGAAATTAAAAAAACAGCGGTTTTGCCAACTGTAGTTGCTGGCAAAGGACAATCAGAGGAGCCTACAGGTAGAACAAAGTCTATGCAGGAGGTACACATCAAGACGCTGGAGGAAATCAAACTGGAGAAGGCCCTGAGGGTGCAGCAGAGCTCTGAGAGTAGCACCAGCGCCCAGCCTCAACCTGAGACTACCCCGGGGGCAAGGCGGCTGCTCCGAATCACCAAAAAAGCAGGTAATAAGAGCCTTGGTCCGTAGTACCACTTGCCCAAATAATATTTCAAAGAAGTGTTCCTCGGCTATTCCTAGGCACTCTTTGACAACTTTTCTTTACTCGGATAACTGAAAATGCCAGAGTAAATGAAGTGAAGCTGTTTCTTTACGGCAGCACTGTAGAGCCCTTTGCTATTTTAATGTGCTTTTTGAGACTTTATGAGGTCCAGTGGGCTTTATCTAATTTTATTTGTCCTCCTAACTTATTATTTTCCTTTGTGTTTTTGTTTGTTTGTTTGTTTTTTGAGTCGGTGTCTTACTCTGTTACCGAGGCTGGAGTGCAGTGGCACACTTACAGTTCACCACAGGCTTGAATTCCCAGCTAGGGCAACCATTCTACCTCAGCTTCTTGAGTAGCTGGGACTACAGGCATGCACCACCATACTCAGCTAATTTTTTCTGATTTTTTGTAGAGATGAGGTCTCACTATTTTGCCTAGGCTGGTCTCGAACTCCTGGGCTGAAAGAGTCCTCCCGCCTTGGCCTCCCTAAGTGGTAGGATTACAGGTGTGAACCACTGCACTTGGCCTCTTACTACTTTTATTAAGTCTTGTTTAACTTTGTCATGAAGTTATAACCCAAATGAAAAAATCGATGATGTCTTTAATGTGACTACAGGAATGAAAGAAGAGAAGAAACTTCAGGAAGGAAGTGAAGTTGCTTCTCAGAGCAGTGTTACTAAAACAGAAGCTAAAGAGGTAAGCTTATGATCAGTATGATTTTGTCCATGGCAGACAAAGGCTACATGAGTGGTAAAATGTGTTCTTTAGTTTTAGTTTATTCTCTGCCTTTATAAAGTTTTTTTTTTTAACTGAGCATTTTTTTTTTTTTTTTGGCATTGGAGTCTCACTTTGTCACCCAGGCTGGAGTGCAGTGGCATGCTCACGTCCACTGCAGCTTTGACCTTCTGGGCTCAAGCAGTTCTTCCACCTCAACCTTCCAAGTAACTGGAACCACAGGCACACACCACCACGCCCAGCTAATTTTTTTTATTTATTGTAGAGATGAGGTCTCGCCAAGTTGCCCCGGGCTGGTCTTGAACCCACAGGCTCAGGCAGTCCTCTCACCTCAGCCTTCTGAAGTGCTGGAATTATTGGAGAGAGCCACCATGCCTAGCGACCATTAGTATTTTTCAAACTGAATTTTTTCCAATGCTGTACATCATACAAAAATTAGAAAGTTTTATTTTTTTGCCAGGTGCAGTGGCTCACGCCTGTAATCCCAGCACTGGGAGGCAGACACGAGAGGATTGCCTGTGTCCAGAGATTCAAGACCAGCCTGGGCAACTTGGCAAGACCTCGTCTCTACAATAAACTAAGAACTTAGCTGGGAGTGGTGACTCATGCCTGTAGTTCCAGCTACTTAGAAAGCTGAGGCAGAAGGATCACCTGAGCCCAGCAGATCGAGGATACGGTGGCCATGAGCGTGCCACTGCACTCCAGCCTGGGCGACAGAGTGAGATGCCTACTTAAAAATAAAAAAAAGGTTTTGAAGTTTTTTTGTTTTGTTTTGTTTGAGTTGGAGTCTCACTCTGTCGCCCAGGCTAGAGTGCAATGGCACGCTCACATCCCAGCGTTGACTGGCTGGGCTCTGGTGATCCTTCCACCTCAGCTTTTCAAGTAGCCGGAACTACAGGCGCACGCTGCCACCTCTGGCTAATTTTTTTTTTTTTTTTGGTAGAGGAGAAGGTCTCACCAAGTTGCCTAGGCTGATCTCGAACCCCTGGGCTCAGGCAATCCACTTGCCTCGGCTTCCCAAAGTGCTGGGATTACAGGCTGAACCTCCGAGACCAGCTGAAAGTTTTGCTTTTTTTTCTTTTTTTTTTGAATTGGAGTCTCACTCTGTCGCCCAGACTGGTGTGCAGTGGCTGCTCCC